GGTTATAGAGGGGTTATGTAGGAGCTATAAGGTTCAGGGGGGCGCTCATGTAGGTTGTAGGGTTTTGTATTGTTCACAACGATGGTTTTTATTTTCGTTGATGCTGTCGGACCTCACTTTGAGATGTATTTGGATCAGGTTCAGCTTGTTGGCTGACATCCACACTGCCACCGCCTCCGCCACTGGCAATCGCCCTTTCAGGGGGGCAGAGAATTCAACTTCTATTGGCGGTTCGGAGCCCTAAACCCTAACCCACCCTAAACCCTAAACCTTAAACCCGAATTAAAGACATTTGCATGTTGGGGTTGTAGTTTTCGTATCTGCCCAGCACTCAAATCAACTGCCTCACCGCAGAAGATGGTACTTTCCCAAAATAAGGGAACCCCAATATAGACCCCAAAATATTGTAGTCCTTATTATGGGGACCCCCAAAAAAGGTACCCCTAAGTTTGGGAAACCCTCAAATGGGCTCCAAATCCCAAGACTGCCCTCCAAGGTTCCTACACTCCCCCGAACCAACATGGAAACCCATATAGCCCCCCTTTAAAGGGACTGTAGTCTTTGTAGAGCCTTTTTTGGGTTTGCATGTGAGTTTCCAGGAGGGTAAGCCCCAAGCCCTAACTCACTGCCTTTATGTTTACGGACTTGGTACTTACTTTTAGCTGGATCCTAACTTTGAGTATAGTTCCATGGGAGTTGTGCAGGGTGCGCTGGGTATAAGTAGGGGGAGAACCCACTCACCATGGACCCCTAGCAACACTTAAGCTAGAAGGCTTTCTCTCCAAAATCCTGAGGTTATACTAGTCTACTCCACACAGTTTAGTCTGCCTAGCTTTCTTAACAACATCAGGAGCATATCCCTCAAGTTGCACCATGTTGACCCATACCCAAGCCCCAATCCTGACTAGGACGCTGAACTTCACAACCCGGCGCGTACGTCGTCCCCTAGCCCTCAAAGCCGTCATATTTCCCTATGTATCCCAATGTCTACATATCCTAGCATCCCTGTACATCCCTTAGGCAAGCTGCCACCCCCAAAGCGGAGTTGCTAAACTTCATATGGTAGTTTCTCAAAATAAGGGGACCAAATATGGACCCCAAAATAATAGAGTCCTTATTATAGGTACCCCAAATTTTGGGAAACCCCCATATGTTGAAGAAGGATCCCCAGAACTTGCTAAGAAGCCGATCACGGCTTAACTGTTCAACCACCAAAGTAGCATTCTGCCACGAGCCGCGAAGCTCTGTACGCAATTTCGTCAAGCTATATGGGACTCCAGAAGTCGGGGGAGTCCCCACCTTAAGGCTTTAGTGTTTTGGGTTTAGGGTGGGTTGTAGCGTTTGGGGGGCGGTATGTTGGGCTCTCCCATGTGAGGCAATTACGTTCTTTGTTCTGCGCCCGCTACATCCTGGGTCCTATGGTTGTAGAAGAAGGTAGAAGATGTAGCGAAGTAGTAACCCACAGTTATTTGTAATAGGTTCTGTTGGTTATAGATAACACAAGTGCTTCGTAGTAAACCTATAGTCCCTCTTAAGTAGATAGAATATGGGGTATATGGGCATCTTATTATAACATACCCAAAGCCATATTCTATCTACTTACATGGGACTACAGCCAGCCTATAAGGGGACCCGAAGTTTGGGTCGCATTGGTTGCTCCCATTTGGAAAAGAACTATGTATGCAGATTTCCAAGCTCTACGCTTTGTATAGCCTGCAAAAACATTCTAGAACCTTCATAGCGCCCCTTTGACATTTTTATGTCCAGGCCCCTTAAAAATCCCTAGTTACTTACCCCAATGAAGTGGTGGGTTCATATTGGAGAGAGGTTCCATCTTTTGGATCCTTCATAGGGGGTCTGGGAAGCTCATGTGAGTAGTATTTTATTTGGGGATACTATGGAACCCAATATAGAGTAAGATTTTATCCTCCTTTTGGGGTAGAGTATTTTATATAAGGAGTAGAATCTTACCAGGTTCAACCAAAAAAAGCACTACTCATGTGCGTTCAGTGGGAAACCCTAAACCCTAAACCCTGTTCAGGTCGGAGATGGGACCAACATCCAGGATCTGACAATGGTACACTTGGACCAAGATTTGCCCTGCAACTTCGGCCACATGTGGGCAGTTCCCTAAAATAGGGACCCATTTTGGTAACCCAAAATATTAGGTGCCGTAATATCATTAACCAAGAGGGGCCCCTAATTTTGATACCAGCCCATGTGGGTTTGTCCCTAAACCTTAAATAGTAGCTTCCATTTTCTTTTCCACCCCTATATAACCACTATATAACCAGGGTTTAGGGTTTGTCGATGGTGGAGTCCGTATTTTTCGGTAGCTATACAGGGAGTGCCCCTAAACCCTAAGCCCTAAGCCCTAAACCCTATCCTGTGGTCTTTGGGGTGGCATGCCACGTGCTAAAGGTCTCACTTCCGAACCTTAGTTCTGGTCCCTTGTACGTGAAGCCCTCACGGCGATGACTGTGTTTCTATTCATATAGGGGTGATAGGGGTTATATAGGGGTTATGTAGGGGTTATATAGGGGAAAAATAAGGTTTATCTAGGGTATATAAGGTTTCTATAGGGGTTATGTAAGGCTTAGTTTCTCATTGCGCAGCATGGTTCGGATATGGAGTAGGAGTTGTGCCAATGGCTTGATCTTGCTGTCGGTTAGACTTCAGGACTAGGCTGATTCCACGTAAGAAGGCCATGTCCCCCAGAGGTTGAGGGCTTGGGTTTGTGGTTTGGGTTGTCCTTCCTTCAAGATAACCCTAAATGTTAAACCCTAAACCGCAAATCGCGCAAGATATCCTCACGCTTCGGCAAGTTGCTGAGCCTGCGCGTCACAGAAATTGCAGAATAAGCCTTCCAGTTGCGCATTCACAAAGTTGGGGTCATTGTAATAGGGTATATATTCGGCTTATCATGGCATAATGGAAAATAAAGATGGAAACTACTACAGTATGTTAATGGGATACTGGAAAATAAAATGGGAACTACTATAGTATATTGGGGTTATATTTGGGGCACCAAGGATTTAGGGTTTACGGTAGGACGCTACACCACTTCATGTTTTAAGCCCTCAGCTGGAAGTCCGAAACTGAACCCTTCAACCAAAACCCTGAACCCTAAACCCTAAACCCATCCTGTCTCCAAGCCGCAAGCTGGCGCGGCGCAAGCCTGGGTTCCCATGTTCTGTGCCCAAGCAACTAGCAGGGACAGCAAGATTCCAAGCAAGTAGCAGGGACAGCAAGAGTGCCGATGTCATCAGGGAGCGGGAAAATCAAACGTATAAAACAGCAACAGCAGTTATCCACAAAGCAAGAACGCATCGACTAGTTACAGTTATATACAATCATGTGAAGTTACAAAACCTGACCAAAGATGCAACATGCCTCACACTCGCTGCCTTGAGCCCTATTGCCAACATCCAAAGTTTTCCATAACCCTTATATAAACCTTATATAACCCCTATATAAACCTTATATAACCCCTATATAAACCTTACATAACCCCTATATAAACCTTACATAACCCCTATATAACCCCTACATAACCCCTATATAACCCCTACATAACCCCTATATAACCCCTAAAATCCCTTGAAAGCTAGGCATTATTGGCCAGAACGCGTCCATTGGGCACGCCTGTGTACTCCATGGCTGCACCATCGAGGACGAGGTCTTGGTAGGCATCTTCATGGCAACTGGTTTCTTGCAGGTTCTTTGAAGGGGTTTCATAGAGGGTATATAGGTGTAATATATACTATAGTATACTATATAGGGTTTAGGGTTAGGGTTTCAAAAAGGGACGCTGTGGACACCTGTCTGTGTGATAGATTGGATTTGTATCCTATTGAATATTATGTACCGCAAAGGTTTTCTGTATGTTTTGCCACAGCGTTCCTTTCTTTTGGAGTATTGGTGGGCCTTAACATAATTTTGAAGAATAGTGGGCGTGCATTTCAGAATTGGATTTATTGAGACTACTGAACTTTTTTCAGTAATCTCAGTAATCCAGAGGGTGGACCAGAGATCAGAGATTGCTCCAGGACCTTTCCCTGATCCACCCTGTAATTCATCTAATCACTCAAAATTAAGAAGTTAATTATTGGAACCAATGTAGATACTCTGTTCATATTATCTAAATATTACACGTATCAAATTTTGTTGGAAAATCTAATTATCTAAATAATTGAATTCAACTGAAACCAATAAAGTATGCATATTTTTAAATAAGTAGACGATCTACTTCGAATCATTAACATAATTAAAATAAGGAAAGTACTTAAGGCGCTTTACACAATTCAAAAAAGACGAACTGCACGGTAAGATTATGAATTGGTAAATTCATCCAGTATTACAAACAACTACAATATTAGGGCAAAAGCCGATATATCTTAAACGTATGAATAGTTCAGACATTGAAGATCTGCAAAATGTTTGAAGAAATCGACATAATTGATTGCGCGCTGTTCAACAGTCAACACAACATTAAGGTTCCCCTAGCATGAAGTTTTCCCTACTAGCAAGGAAAGCACCAGTGTTACACAGTACATCAGGTCCTACGTACATAGCCTTATAGCCCTAGGTTCTTTAAGCACCCAACCCTGTGGTCGTAGCCTCTACAGCTTACAGCCCCTTCCCGTAAGCCCAAACTTTACAGCCCGCAACCCTACACCCTAGAACCCTAATCCCCAAACCCTATATCCCCAAGCCTCTACACGCTAAACTGCTAAACCCTTCACAACCCCTAAGCCCTACACCATATAACCCTCACCCTTAAAGCGTATGCCCTAGGCGCTTGGCTTACAGGTCCCGCTCCTTTCTTGCATGGTTTGTGCATGATGTACCACTTCGTAAGCAAATGGTACAAGTTTTTCATTGCTTGCAACGTTACCTTGTTTTTTTAAGAGGGAGTAGTGGCTGAGGCTACTCCTCTGGACTGCTTTGTTAAGGAGAGGATAGCTCTTGAGGCTACTCCTCTAGGTCCGGGCCAAGCCATGGACGAACAGCACCAACAGGCCATGCAGGCGCAAAGCCACAACCAGCAGCAGGTCCTCGAGCAGTACCAGCAGCAGGTGCGCCAGACGTCCCAGCCGGTTTTTTCTGCAGTTCAGAACCTTTGGTTTGAGAGCCGCAGAGTGCAGAAGCGCGGCCCTCCCTCAACCGCAGGTTTTTCGAGCACCGGACTGGCTACGCGAAACCACCACGGACGCTCCGATGAGCGACGCACAACCGGCCACAGGGAGTGCTGACCCGGTTACTCCGCTGTTCCAGCCACTGCACTACGACGACTCGTCCTCGCTGGCTTTGACCGCAGCTCAGGTTGGTGTGGACGCCAACAACCATGAGGCCGTGGAGAATTGGCTGGACGAGCCCATCCAGACCCGTCGCTCAGTTTTTGAGACGGTCCGTGCCTACCACGTGGGTGTCATCAGAGGGGAAATGTACAACCTCATTTCCCAGGTTGAAGGGGTCATCAAGTCCCTAGATGACCGCCTGCTCCAGCAACAGCAGGATCTTTTTCTGGCTGACTTCTGAGTGTAGAACGGAGCAAAGGAGGGTGTCAGGGCTTCAGGTACTCCTCACTGGCTGGGACCCAAAGATGAACCCAGAAGAAAGGCACTTCATGATCCACTGGATGATGCAGCAGGTGGAGTTCTTCAGAGCTTGGTTGAGCCGTCGTGGTGTCACCGACCTGGACCCTGAGCATGTTTTTTTATCACGTACTCCAGGTTGATCCGGCTACTCCGCCTTCAGGATCCCAGTGGAGTACAATCACGATCCTCACTTTTAAAGCTTGGGATCTTCGAACGGAGTTTATGTCAGCCTTTGGTGGTGCAACAGGGACTGCACTTTGGAAAAGATGCTCAAACCCCTGTCAAAGGGCGCCACACCAGGGCTACTCCTTGTTCCCCTCAGTTTCAGCGAAAGTTGGAACTGCCTTTGAGGGTGTTGCTTTCTTTGATCAATGAAAGCACAGTGTTGGAACACTCCCAAGTGGTGGTCTTGTGGAAAACATTAGCCATAATGACCCCACAGCAGGTTCGTGAGTTTGATGCCCAGGCTACTGCGTGCGCACGCCTTTTTTTTTTTGACCTCCAGCTGGAGCGGAAGAACCCAATATCTGGGCTTATTCCTGGAACAAAGTAGTCTTTGGAGCCCAGAGCGAGATGGATGCTGCAGACCGATCTCAGATGTCAGCAGCTGTCCAGCTTTCTCACACTGGCGGTCCAGGTGCAAAGTACGGTCAGTCGACTAAGCACTGGACAAACAACTTTGTTTACTCCTCTGCGCAGAATCCTTATCCACTGGAGATCAATGTGGTAAAGGTTTCTCAGGTAGCGTATTGTGGGGACGAGTACGCAGACAAACTCGATCCCAGCAAAAAAGTAGGTGATTACAAAGCCGCGACTTACAAGGGAGCGCCGATTTTGGCCCCACAGTCCGGCACCACCTCCATGGGTGCGCCTGCTTGGGTGCCTAGCCGCGGCGGGTACCCCAAGGCACCACCCACAGTTGCCCCGGGATCTTGATGGTCCACCTATTTCATTTGCAAAGCCCAAAGGGCTACTCCGCATGCTCCATGTAGGCTAAAGAGCACACCACTTTTGAATATTTCTAGAGGGGATGTTTGCAACCCATTTGAATTTTATGAAGCAGTTGCTCCCCCTCAGGTAGTGCTCCCCTACATTTATGGGGCAATATGGAAGCCTACTCCTCAACTTTACTTTTACTCCTCAACTTTATTGGGTTATTGTATTGGTAATCCTCTTACCCCAAAGCTTCCATTGCATTTCCAGCCAGAAGCTTCACAGCCTTTTTGCATAATTCAGCTCAGCCACCAGCAGAGGGTACTGCAAAAGCAGTCAGGGTTATTCCTCACTAGTAAGAAGCTCAAATGGGATATGACTAAAGTTAGAAGGAACCATCATAGAAGACACAAACCCTCACCAAACACCACTACACCTCTGTTGCCAACCCTTCAACCACTCCTCATATCAGTTCTGGTTATACATTACTACACTACAGTTGAAAGAAACAGCGCACTAATAGTGTTAATGGATTCACGTATACTTTTGCAACTTTCCTCCATTCTACTTTCATCTTGGGACAAAGTATTGCAAGACACATTGAATAAAATGATGCACACTAAAGTAGGTAACACTACCATTCTCAACGAGAGGATTAAATTCCCCCTTCCATCCCCAGAACCATCATCAACTTAGAAAGTTCCCTTTTCCAGCCAACTATATCAAGTCAGTATGATAGAGAGCTTTTATTGTCTTACAGATCACTTCAAACTCAACCCCAAGTTTCCACATTACCTACTTTGAACCCAAGACCCAAACCCAGATCAGGTCACAGAAAATCCAAATTGTCATCAACAGGAGAAAAGATTCATTATAAAACCAAGCTACTCCGCCGAATTCATGGGCTCCGCCTTAACGCCAACCCATCCTTTTTCAAGAGGCCACATTCCTTAGGAAACCGGCCAAAGAATTTGATAATTCGCTCACAAAGGGACAATGATTTGCCTCCGGGAGGCGCGCCGGGAGCTTCGGCGAACGAAGAGTGCAAGCCCTTAAGCTCTTCCAACGCGTGCGCTGAGGGTAAAGGGCCCCGCGGACGACGTCAAAGGCGCAGGGAATACCGCGCATGGCGGCGCGCGTTAACAGTGCCTATACGGCTACACTGTTTGGGCAAGGGGGTGGCCAACGGGAGAGCGCCCTCGAACGCAGCCACTAAGCGTTCACCGGGAATGAAGGCGTCGCGCATATTCAAACGTATGTGCGCCCAGTCCAAGACGAAGGGGCCCCAACGCGCGAACAACAGGGATCCGACGGTTTCCGCGTTGGCTACTCCTCTGCAAACATATGGTAAAGAGCTCAAAATAGGTGCGCAGAATGTACAAGGGATGGCCGAAATCCTAAAACACCAGTATGTAATCAACATGATGAAGGAGCATTCACTTGACATTCTGGTCCTAACAGAAACAAGAAGTAAAAGCTACTACACATATAACTCGGAGGGCTTTGTTTTTGTGGTTAATGGCTACAACAAGGACCCATATGGGGGAGTAGCCATGGTAATCTCACCGCGCATGAGACCACACATTAAAGATATCACCCAGCATTCATCAAGACTATGTGAAGTTACCATTAACTCGAAGCCAGGCCTAACACACATCCTTGGTGTATATGCCCCCCACAGTAAGATGGATTTCGAGGAAGTTAAGGCACCGTTTTGGGACATGCTCGAAGATGTATATTCGGCTACTCCGCTACCTGAACCTATTTATGTGATAGGGGATTTTAATGTCAGATTGCAGGGAAGGAACGCCTTGGAGCATGCGGTATTGGGCCCACGCATTTTTGGTAAGGGTATGGCGTTTTCTCAACGCAAGCCAAATGATAATAGAACACTGTACTTAAACCGTTTACATGGCCATGACTCCGTAGACTGCATGTCCTTCAAAACCCCCAACCTTAAACAACAGGTTACATTTAGGGACAAGACTCCCCCACCCAAGGACTGGAGTGGATTTGTTACAGACCCGCTACCCCTCCTACAAGTTTATGACGTCATTCAGTCCAAAATTACCCCCGAAGACCTTAGCCTACAGGTTGCTGATACCATTAGACAGTACATTACATCTGACCCACTTCCTGATCAGCTCCCATTGCCTCCTTCCAATGACCCACTCCGTTTCCAAAGCCTGGACAGAATCATAACCCGAAGTAAGTGGCTCCCCTCAGTCCATCAAGTAAAAGCGATTCATGATACTGGATTCCCCAGCGACCGCTACTTACTCATCTTAAAAACTGTTGTCAAATTAGGCTAAAAGATCCCTCGCCCCGTTGTAGAACCCAGACGTACGTATGATGACCCAGCCTCATACAACCTCGCTTTCCGCAAATACTACACTAACAGTCACAATACCCCCCCCTCGGCTACTCCGCTGTCAGAAGAATTAGAGGTTTATACGGATGGTTCGGTTTCCAAGGGGAAATGCTCGGCGCACACACCTTCCGGTTGGGGATACACGGTCCTATGTGAGAACGAAGAAACTGAATACTCCTTCGGGCCAGTAATTGTAGACCCTCTCTCCCCATACCATTTTGGTGCCGAAATAGGCAGTCACAATACGGGTGAACTGCAAGCATGGATGGAGGCAGCCAGCTATCTAATAGCGCACCCCCCGTCCCATGTTACATTCTATTATGACAGTAAATGGATGGCAACAATGGTAAAAGGGGAAGGTAGGCCTAAAAGACATAAAAACATGGTAAGATTAGCTCGGCTACTCCGCAACAAATTGCAGGCCACGACGACTATCTCCTGGCAATGGATCAAAGGTCACAGCGGGCAACAACACAACGAAAGAGCGGACCAACTCGCGGAAAAAGGCAAGGCCTCCGCCACCGGTACGGGCGGCAGGTATTCACAAGCGGGCCCCATTCTTGCCAACAGCCTCGCCCCGAATGATTTGCCCACGGAGGGTGACGCAGTAAGCAAGTGTCACCGTCTAGGGCAAGCGCTCAGAAAAGCCGAAAGCGAATCCTTTCACACCAAACCGGTTACTCCTAAAAAACCTTGGATCACGGAAGAAATGGCAGTTAGAATACAACAGGTACGCAAGCTTAACGCGCTCAACTCTCCAGAATATTTCGAACAAAATAAACAGCTCAAGAAGGACGCCAGAAAAGCCAAAAAACAGTGGCTAGCGGACAAGCTAGAAGCGAATCCGGGCCCGTCCCAACCCACAGTCTGGAAACATCTTCGCCACGTTCGCAAAGGCTTTTCGGAACGCAAACGACGCCTAGTAGTTAACGGACGGCAAGTCCCATGGTCGAAAACTCATCAAGCTTTTGCACGGCGCCTCGAGGATAAGCAATGGGGAACCACAGAAGTAACGGAGGAAGAATTAAACATATTAAAAGACTCTCCCCCCCTTTTTCCCCCGACGAAGCTAATCAGCCGCTGTTCTCCTTTTCAGAGCTTCAAACCGCCTTAAATAAGTTATCAAAGGGAAAGGCACCAGGACCCGACGGCGTTAGGCCCGAGCTACTCCGCCTGTTAGACGACTATGGAGAATCGCAAATCCTAGACCTGATAAATACGTGCTGGATCGAACAAAAGATCCCGGCAGAATGGAAGGACGCGCCAGTTTTCTCCTTTTACAACGGAAAAGGAGATGATTCATCGGCAGCTAATTACCGCCCTATTTCGCTTCTTAACACGCTGTACAAGGTCTATGCGTCCATGATACAAGAGCGACTGTCGAACAAATATGATCGGTTACTCCGCAAAACTCAATTTGGATTTAGACGTGGTAAAGGTACGCAACAACCGTTATTCATCATCCGTAGGCTACAGGATTACTCCGCCCGCGCGGGACAACCTTTTCAGCTGTTTTTTTTCTGGATTGGCGTATGGCATTTGATAAGGTAAATCATGACAGTTTAATGACAGCCCTATCCCGTCTAGGTATCCACTCGCACTATCTGAAGGTGATCCAGGATTTTTACACGGACCCT